ATCTATGGCTTAGAGAATATCCAAGAGCCCTAAAATCCTAGGCCTAAGACTTGGGCCTAGCATTAAATCTACCATTAGATGCAGTAGGAACCAATAGTCCATAAAAGCTATAACATTTTTAGGCACTGCCTGTTGCTGACTATATGGTTTTATTTTTTTTTCTATTGCCTGTAAAAGCAAAAGATGTTAATAGTGTCTATGTATTGAAGCCACTGGTGGCTAATGAACAGAACAGTAAGCTTCCAGCTTGCATATCTAGAACTCTGATTTTCTGATTCCAAAGTCTGGGTCACCCTAGGGTTTTGTTGTTTTGTTTTGTGTGTGTGTGTGTGTGTGTGTGTGTGTGTGTGTATGTGTGTGCGCGCGCGCGCTGGGTCTTGAACCCTAAAGACCTGGGTGCTGTCTAAGAGCATTTTTGCTCTACCACTTGATCCACAGCTCCACTTCCAATTTTTTTTGGTGGGGAGTGGGAGTCCGGTCGTGGGGCCTGAACTCTGGGCCTGGGCGCTGTCCCTCAGCTCTTCAGCTCAAGGCTAGTGCTCTACCACTTGAGCCACAGCACCACTTCCAGCTCTTTTTTCTTTTTGCTTATGTGTTGCTGAGGGATCGAACTCAGGGCCTCATGCACGCAAGACAAGCACTCTACCACTGAGCCACTTCCCAGCTCCCCTTCCAACATTTTTTAGTGGTTAATTGGAGATAAAAATCTCATGTGCTGGTTTTGCTTGTTTGCAATAACTATAGTATACGTCTAGGATAATCTTACCAGACAAGCAGAAAAAGTCAAAAGCTATGTACATATGACCATATAAGATGATGCTAAGCAAAATGAACCCTAAGATCAGAACACAAGAGGTTTTATCTTTCTTGCTATTGTTTTTAATGTACTTATGATGTACTATGTGCTCTTTTTGTTTCTTTTGTATGTTCTTCCCCCATGGTATAACTCCTCTTTTCACTGTATTTGATTCCGGTGCCCTGCATCTTGTATATACATTTTTCTAATTTGGGGAGAGGAAGGGAAATAACAAAATGCTGAAACAAGGATGCACGTTGACTCATTGTAACAACGACATGTACAAGACACTATATTGAAAATGAACTTTACATCGTTGGAGACGGAGGGAGGGGCTGGAGAGGTGCGAAGGGAAGGGATGGTAGAGGAAAATCGAAGGAGGGAATAGCAATGCTTGATAAGAAATGTATTCATTACCTTACTCATGTAACTGTAACCCCTCTGTACAGTATCTTTACAATAAAAAATATATATTAAAAAATGGGTTTTCCTACCTGGGCTGGCTTTGAACCTTGATCCTCAGATCTCAGACTCTGGAGTAGCTAGATTACAGGAATGAGCCAGACTTAAACTCCCACTTTTAAGAGCTTTGAGAAGTAAGTCCTTCACTTTACCAATATAGCTCTTAGGCATTTGGCACTCAAGACCATTGACTTCCAACGCTATAGGAGCTATTCTTCATCTACTCAAAATACTAACTGGATTGAACAGATGTCCTCTGACTGGTGGCAATGAAAATGTGATTTTTGAAGGTGACAATGAGTACAGAATGAACATTAAAGAAAAATTAATGTAAAATGAATCCTGGGCCTCGTGGATAATATATGATGATTCTACAACCTTTTATTGCTCTAAGAAATTATGTTTGATCTGTGTGCTTTGGGTCTTCAGAGAATATGTGATTTTCCATGACTTTTGTTTTTTTGTTCTCCCAAATAAGTAGATGTTCTTAATCTCCATATTGCCACAATCTTGTTACATCCATGATCTCATGACCCTTGTGCATAGCTTCAATAGATAAATTTAAATATAGTCATTTTTTGGTAAAATGTACCATTCAAATACAAAGTTTCTTAAAAAGTATCTTTACACCAGCAATTCTATATAAATCAATGGTCCATGACATTTACATAACAGGTCTGCATCAACCATTTACATTTACATTTTCCCAATGCCACATAAGATCTATATCATATTCCATTTTGTTAGTATCTTACTTAGGAGTAAAGCAACATATCACACTATAGTGCACCTGTCACAAAATATGCTAGTCCATTTTTATTACTGAGAGAAATATTTGTAGATTTGAAAAATTGAGATATATTTTTGTATTTTTTGCCTGAGATAAAACCAATTCTTTATTACAACAAAGAGCTTGTATGTTATAATTTTAAAAGCCAATGATTTTCATGGTTTTTGCCCCAGTCCAACTAAACTGAGTTCCCAAAGTCCTCTTCCTTCCTTTTGGAGAGTTCATTGACACCTCTCATTCCTGGAGGGATTTTGTTTTGTCTCTAGTATTCTCCCATCTCCACCTGTTACTTTACTAGTTTAACTTTCTTGCTTTCTTTGCTTGCTTGTTTGCTTGCTTTGCTTGCTTGTTTGTTGCTTTGCTTGCTTGTTTGCTTGCTTGCTTTCTCTCTTTCTTTCTCTCTTTCTCTCTTTCTTTTCTTATGTCAGCCACGAGTTTTGAACTCAACTCCTAGGCACTGTCCTTGAGCTCTTTTTTCTCAAAGCAAGCCCTCTACCACTTTGAGCCACAGCTCCACTTACGATTTTTTGAGTGTTTAATTGGAGATAAGAGTCTCATGGGTCCACCTGTATCCCTATTTAAACGATTTGGTTTTTTTCCCCTTCCCCTCCACAAATTATACCGACATCAAATACAGTGAAAGCAGGGGTTATACTGTGGGGGAGGGACATACAAAACAACAAAGAAATCATCTTATAAATGTGTTAGAAACAATCGCATGAAAGAAAAAAAAACATTTGAATACAATGAGATGTACAAGTTGTTAGGTCAAAAACGAACTTTACAACTTTGGTGTGGGGGGGGGAGCGGGCGGGTAGGATTGGGTGGAGGGGGGGAGGATGGGAAGGGATGGGAAGGGGGAAACAAAGGAGGAGGCTACAGTGCTTGATAAGAAATGTACTCATTATCTTGCCCATGTAATTGTAACTCCTCTGTACAGTATTTTCACAATAAAAAAATAATAAAACAATTTTAAAAAGAGTCTCATGGGAACTTTTCTGCCCAGGCTGGCTTCAAACTATAATCCTCTAATCTCAGCTTTCTGAGTAGCTAAGAGTACAGGTATGAGCCACTGATGCCAGGCTTAACTTACTTTTCACTGTATATAGTCACAGCCTTTGAAAAAGGTTATTTTTCTTATGAGTATAATCAAATATAAATGCCTTTGAGAAACATCTATCAATCTAATGTACTCTACTTTCCAATTCTTTTTTTTTAATTGAATTGGGATATCCATCATGGTGCATATATCTCATATCTAGTGAAAGAAAACTGGTGATGTAACACTTTTAGGACTTCACGGGATTGGAGGAATATAGAAAAAGTAGTGATTTCTGGCATGAATATATGATATATATGTAATACATATTATATATACATACATACCATGAGAAAACATAATGGTTATGAATTTTTACATCAAATTTCTCCAGACTAATGTGAGTCTGATTTGCCATTTGCAATTGAAAGGAAGAACTACTGAAATTTCTTCCAAGTCAACATGTATAAACCAATATTACTTCATCAAAATAAGGACCTATGGTTACCTTGCTATTATGATTCTTACTTCGAATATTTATTATCAGGCACTGGTGGCTCATGTCTGTAATCCTAGCTCCTCAGGAGACTGAGATCTGAGGATTTTGGTTTGAAGCCAGTCTGGGCAGGAAAGTCTAAGAAACTCTTATGTCCAATAAATTACCCCCCAAAGCCAGAACTGGAGCTGTGGTTCAAGTGGTAAAAAGCTAGCCTTGAGTAAAAGAAGCTCAGGGACAGCACCCAGGCCCTAAGTTTAAGCCCCAGGATCAGCCAAAAAAATTATAATGAAATTATTTGGCATTACTTAGGCTTTTGAATGAAGAATGTCAGCAGGCTCTCTTCCACTGAGCCATGCCTACATATTCTTTTTAATGGAGACTATATCTGAAATAAGTTCTTGTCTTCTGTCAAGATATGAAACAAAATCACAATCTGTTTTTTAAGGCTTTCCATCCTAGGCTGGGTTATACTTTTTGTATGACAACACCAAACTTAGTTTGTTAGGGACTCGAACAGACTTTATTGCCCATGCTGGCCTGGAACAAAGGGCCTCCTCATCTTGTTCATTCAATCATTTAGGATGAGAGGATATTGGCCTCTGTACCCAGCAGTGGGTTAAAAACAGGTCTTTCCAACTTTGCTGCCTAGGTTGGCCACACGTTGCCATCATCCCATTCCCAACCTGCAAATTAGCTAGGATTACAGGAGTGAGCCACCAGCTTCAGCCCCATTGCTTCAAATGTTTCCTGTGTTTTGAAATGCTCATGCAAATATTTAAAGGGATGACATTGATCAAGATATATTGTATTCATAAACTGCTTTGTTAAATTACAATTCCTTTGTACCACTACTTAAAGATAACAAAAATAGTAAAAATGATAACAAATGAAAAAAGGAATGTTTATATCTTACTTATATTTTTATTTTATTATTTTTTTGTTTATGTGATACCAAAGAATCGAACCCAGAGCCTCATGCATGTTAGGCAAGCACTTTCCCACTAAGCCACATCCCTAGTCCACACTAGGAATTTAAAGAACAGTATAATTACTGGGTCCTTCATGTCAGCTTAGGAAGTATAAAACTATGTTCAGTGTCGTTCTTTGTATACCCACAGTCCAGTCCTGCTACATCATAATGAAAGAGCAAATCCAAAAGACTATGTTAATTCATATCTTGTGCCAAACTCAAATCTGCTTTCACCCATACTCTCTTCTGCATCCAGCTCTGTTCACAATTTACCTACCCCTCTCTTAGCCTTTCTTTTTCTCTTTTCTAGTTTGCTGTTCTGAAGGATTGACTCTGACAGAAGAGACACCATTTTTTAATGGCTGCATACAACCAAGATAAAGAGAAGAGACAGTCTACTCCTGCCTCCAGCCTTCACCTCATTTGTACCTCTCATAGCCCATAATGGCTGAGGGTGAGGGTCTGGTATATATGAGAAGCACTGTTCTGCAACTCTGGCTGGCAGGGTTATTCTGTCTTTCTGGTTGGCCTAGAATTGGGCAGGCTCAACATCACAGCCCCCCAGAAGTGCTGATACCCATGAAGATAAATGACAATGGTGGAGGCATTAGGTCCAAAGAGTGGATCTCCTACAGCCTACCCTTTGGGAATAAGAGACATATTGTCCACCTGAAAGCTAAGAGAAATTTGGTGTCCCCACATTTCTCTCTGTTCACCTACACAGAACAGGGAGTGCTCCTTGAAGATCAACCGTTTGTCCAGAATGACTGCTACTACCAGGGCTATGTGGAAGGGGACCCAGAATCCCTGGTAGTTCTTAGCACCTGTCTTGGTGGCTTGCGAGGAACACTACAAATAAATAATATTCTTTATGAAATCAAGCCCAAGAACCTTTCGGCCACCTTTGAACATCTGGTTTATAAGATGGACAGTGAGGAGACACATTTCCCCCCCATGAGATGTGCCATAACAGAAGAAGAAATTGCACAACAATTGAAATTTCAAGAGACTGATGATTTTATACCCAGGCAAAGTGGCTATGAAGGCTGGTGGACCCACAGATGGTTTCTTGAACTTGCATTTGTTGTAGACAATAAGCGCTTCCTTGATCGCAAAAGCAATGTATCCAGGGTGATACAGGAAGTATTTGTCATTGTCAGTGAAGCAGACTCCATTTTTTTTGCACTAGATATTGAAGCATCTTTAGTTGGACTTGAGATCTGGACTGAAAAAAATCATGTACAAGGAACTAACTTAGACAAGCTCCTGCTAGACTTTTGCATATGGAAGAGATATAACTTTAATCCTCGTGTGAGATCTGATATTGGACATCTTTTAATGCAACAAAATTTCGGTAGAGATCTTGGCAAGGCATCTCTTCAAACTGTATGTAATTCAATTTTTAATTGTGGAGTTAATCGTATACTAGGGGAAAATTTGTATCATATTGGACACATTGTGGCACATGAGATTGGTCATAATTTGGGCATGTTTCATGATAGAGCTCACTGTAGCTGTGGAGTGAAAGTATGCATCATGGCTCCAGCAGACAATTATTCCAGAAAATTCAGCAACTGCAGTTATGCTAAATTTATGGAGACTATTGGACGGACAGATTGTATGCGTTTGCCGCCTCATCCATTACACATCTATAAACATGAGTTCTGTGGGAATCGTGAGATTGATGTTGGAGAAGAATGTGACTGTGGATCCATAAAATTGTGTAACCAAGACCCATGTTGTCTAGCAAACTGCACTCTACAATCTGAGGCCGAATGTGCTTCCGGGCTCTGTTGTGAAGATTGTCACCTCCAGCCTTCAGGCACAGTGTGCAGAGAAAAGAAAAATGTATGTGATCTTCCTGAATGGTGTAATGGGATTTCGCAGCATTGTCCAGAAGATGTGTATTTGTCAGATGGGTCACCATGTCCTGGTAGTGGCTATTGTTATGAAAACAGATGTAATAACCGAGATGAACAGTGCCAGAAGATTTTTGGGAGTAAAGCCAGGAATGCAAATCAGCTTTGCTACAGGGAAATGAACACCCGAGGTGACCGTTTTGGAAACTGCGGTTTCACTAGCAATGAATATAGGAAGTGTGACATCTCAGATATCTACTGTGGCAGAATTCAGTGTGAGAATGTGGCAGAAGTCCCGATGTTGGCAAGCCATTCTACTGTACATTGGACACACTTTAATGAGGTCACCTGCTGGGGTACTGACTACCATTGGGGGATTGAGATGCCTGATATTGGTGATATAAAAGATGGCTCAGAATGTGGTATAAAACATCTATGCCTACACAGGAAGTGTGTCCCCATGCCAGTGTGGGCACATGATTGTTCTCCAAGAACCTGCAATATGCGTGGTGTCTGCAACAATAAACAGCACTGCCATTGCAATAAGGGGTGGAAGCCACCAAATTGCTGGAACGAGGGCTTTGGGGGTAGTGTTGACAGTGGCCCACCTCCTTGGAAGGATCAACCAAGTTGGAGGTTTCATAAGAGGTCTTCTATTTTAGAAGTTTTTCTGCTTTCTTTTATCATTTTGTTTTTCATTTTATTCATTCTCTTTTTGAAGAAAAGGAGGAAAGCCACAAGAAAGAAAGAGCTTGATTCGCCAAAGCCAGCTGAAAATGAAGCTGTCACAGACATGTAAACATGTCAAATGTCACATGAGAATAAAAATCTCACAGTTAACACTTTACCCAAGAATGCAGAGCAAACTTTTCAAATGTCATCTGAAAATAAACTTCCAAGTTTATCAATTTACCCACAAAGAAGAGCCAAAATTTCAAATATACACTAAAAGCAAAGGTAACAATTTACCCAAAATAGTAGAACAAACTTTTAAAACAACACATGAGAATTAAAAAAATCTCAAAGACAGCCCTTTACCTAAATAAAAGGAGCACAGTGTTCTAATATTCCCTGAGAAAAGAACTCCATGTTCAAACTTCATGTGAGACAGAACAGCCAAGCTTTACCATTATATGTATTTTCAATGTACTTGCGGTAGAAATGTTATTGCTTGTTGTCAGAAATTACTGCTAGAAAGTTCCAGGATTTCTTTAACCATGCAGGATCCCAGAAACATCATTAAAAATGAATCCTAATATCATTTTACTGTTCATTAATTATTTTAAGCAACTTAATGGGGGATGGGTGGGTGGGTGCATGCGTTGGTTCTAAGGCATGAACTCAGGGCCTGGGCATTGTCCCTGAGCTTTTGTGCTCAAGTTTAATGCACTACCATTTAAGCCACAGCTACATTTCTGGCGCTTTTGGCGGTAGTGAATTGGAGATTGAGTCCCATGGGCTTTCTTATACATGCTTTGAACTGTGATTCTCGTATCTTAGCCTCCTGAGTAGCTAGAATTGCAGATGTGAACCACCAACACTTGGCTTAATGGTTATTTTTAGTGCAATTCTTGTCACAAGCAAGTCCTAACTCCCTACCTCATGTATCTTTCTTACTTACGCTCTTTCTTTCTTTCCTTTCTTTCTTTCCTTTCTTTCTTTCTTCCTTCCTTTCTTTCTTCCTTCCTTTCTTCCTTTCTTCCTTTTTAAAAAAAATATGGAACACTTCATGAATTTTTGTGTCCTCCTTGTGCAGGGGCCATGCTAATCTTCTCTGTGTTGTTCCAATTTTAGTATATGTGCTACTGAAGAGAGCAGTCTTTCTTCCTCCCTCCCTCTTTCTTTCTTTCTTTCTTTCTTTCTTTCTTTCTTTCTTTCTTTCTTTCTTTCTTTCTTTCTTTCTTTCTTTCTTTCTTGCTTTCTTGCTTTCTTTCTTTCTTGCTTTCTTTCTTTCTTTCTCTCTCTCTTTCTTTCTTTCTCTCTCTTTCTCTCTTTCTCTTTCTTTCTTTCTTTTTGTTGGTTGTGGGGCTTGAACTCTGGGCCTGAGGGGTGACCCTGAGCTCTTCAGCTCAAGGCTAGCTTGAGCTAGCTCTACCACTTGAGCCACAGCACCACTTCCGGTTTTCTGGTAGTTAATTGGAGATGAGTCTTTCCTGCCCAAGCTGGCTTTGAACCTAAATCCTCAGATCTCAGCCTCCTGAGTAGCTAGGATTACAGGCATGAGCCACTGGCACCCAGCTGGTGTTTTCATTTGGTATCCCAATTGCAAACTCTCTTTTTTCACTCTGTTTTGTCACATGGAAAGAAGAAACCCTCAAATTTCAGTCCATCGGAGTGCTGGAGGAAGATTTGGACCCTCAGACAGCTGTGCGGTTGAGCTCTCTTTGGTGATAGCAGTGGTTGCAGTCTGCACAATTAGTATAGTATATTTAGTGTTGTCAAGAGCAAGAGTATTCTCAGCCCCACAGAACACAGAACTAACTACCAAAGCACTTGCCTTAAGTTCTGAACCCCAGGTCATGATGCTTGCACCAAATTCCAGAGGTTTCACCTCCAAGCTGAATGTGCCTTCAGCTCAGAATGGGGGGGGGGGGGGTCATATAACCACATGAGATATTCACAACTTTGGGTTTGAGTCGTTTCAATCTCTTCCCTGTGATCACTTCTCCCCTTCACAGTCAATCCTGGTCATTTCAGATGTGGTTTCAGATGTTACTTCAGATGTGGTTTCTCATTCATTGACTTCTGCATGAAAGAGAATGTTTCTTGGTGCCACAGAGAACACGAGAAATCAGAAACGACAATTTTGAAATTTTTCTTTAGAAATTATTTAATTTTATTAGTATTTAAGAATCTGTAATGGAAGATAATAGCAATCATCATTTGACTTCTTTTTAGCTTTGCTTATAAAATAGGATAAAGAAGATACTTACATTTCTGTTGAATGTAATATATTCTTAAATCACATTTCTTCTCCAACTAACCTCCTCCCACCCCCCGCCCAAACCTATTAAACTTTGCAAACCACATTGAACAGGGACAAAGTGAGTTGTAGTTTCAAGAAGGAGCACATGAACTAAAATTTTAAGCACAGAAAACAATTCTCGAAGAAGTTGAAGAGTGATCTCCACTCTTTCTCTTGGTGGTCCACAAGTCATTTCCAATTTGCATGGCAGCTGAGGACAAAGTTTGGTCCATTAAGTAGACAGTCCTAGAATTGTGAGTTAGAGAATTTAGGGCCTTCAATTTATCACTATTATCCCTCAATAGTATATTTGCTAAATCCAAAGATTTTAGTGCATTCTACTAAGCAAGATGGAAATCTCTAAATAGCATATTTTCATATTGTCAGGACAAAAACGAGGTTTTTCTTAAGTACATTCATTGGTTTCTTGAAGATAACCCTTAATTTTGAGTTTGTATTTGTCAAGAAGCTGGAAAGCTAGATGTTGGACCTTTGGATAGGAGCTGTTGATGATCTCCTAAATCTTTCAATAGTATTTAACAGTTAGATGCATCCTAATAAAAGTCTTTTGCCAATATCTGAACAATACAGTGTAAGTAAAGAGAATTCGTTTCAGACTCACTAAATCTCATTGAATTCTCCTTGCTCAAATAACAGTAGATATGGACATTCTGCTCTTAGCCCATCTTTCTAAGAGGATAGAGAAGAATACCTTGGGGGAGTCTATGGCTGTTTTTGTACACAATTACCTGCATAGATAAAACATATGATTATATGTTTTGGCTGTTGCTTCAAAATTATCTTGAGCTGGGAAGGTGGCTCAGTGGTAGAGTGCTTGCCTTGCATGCATGAGGCCCTGGGTTCAATTCCTCAGCACCACATAAGCAGAAAAAAACCAAAACAAAACAAATTATCTTGAATAGGTGTTTAGGGTGTATTTTTACTGGTCTCTATATCATGTATTTCTGCACTAATTTTTTATTATTTTTGTCAGCTAGATTGTGAACTTGTTTTTCTAGGAGATTGAGATTATTCATATCTAATCTTTCTGTTTTAACGATGTGAGTGCTTACTGTTATAAACTTAACCTCTTAGAACTTTCTTTCCTGTATCTCAGTTTTGGTAGGTTGTGTTTTCATTTCCATTGGATTCTAAGAACTTTTCCTTATTCTTCCTCTTTCCCCCTTTTCCTTATACTACATTATTACCATTTTTATAAATTTTTAATGGTTGTACAAAGGTGTTTTAATTTTACATGTCCATTTACTTATGTGTACAAGAATCTTTTTTTTTTGCTGGTCCTCCTGGGGCTTGAACCCAGGGCTTGGGTGCTGTCACTGAGCCTGTTTGTGCTTGTGCTCAAAGCTAGCATTTTACCATTTGAGCCACAGCACCACATATCTGGCTTTTTCTGAGGAGTTTATTGAAGATAAGAATCTCAAGGACTTTTCTGCCCAGACTGACTTCAAACTGTGATCCTTGGACCTCAGCCTCCTGTGTAGTTAGGATTACAAGCATGAGCCACTGGTACCCTGCGTATCTTAAAGTCTCTCCTGCGTATCTTAAAGTCTCTCCTTCCATCATTTTTTTCACCTCTTCCACCTCAGTCTCTTCAGTCTCTACTTCCATTTTCATGTATGTACAATGAGCATTACAGTATATCTGTTTTCACCCACAATTCTTTTCTATTTTCCCCTCATCCTATTAGTTCTCACACTCCCATTCAAGATAGATTTCAGCTTCCTGGTATTCATTTTGTTAAACTGATCATTTTCAAATGGGTCTCATCATTCCTTTGGCCTATTTTTGTGCTAGTACCAAGCTGTATTTTTTGCAATGGCTTTGTAGTATAATTTGAAGTCTAGTATTGTGATATCTCTAATACTGTTTTTCCCCTCCTTAGAATTACTTTAGCTATTTAAGCTCCTTGGGCTTCCACATGAAATTAGAGATTGCTTTATCTATCTCTATAGATAGCAACAGTGAGATTTTAGTGAGCACTGCAGTGTGGATATTTTTGTGATACTGAGTCTACAAATCCCAGAACAGGCTGTGGTGGTCTTTCCATCCTCTTGTATCTTCTTCAGTTTCTCTCTTCAAGAGTTTATAGTCCTCAAGCCGGGTACTGGTGGCTCATGCCTGTAATCCTAGCTACTAAGGAAGCTGAGATCTGAGGATTGTAGTTCAAAGCCAGCCTAGGCAGGAAAGCCCATGAGACTCTTATCTCCAATTAACCACCAGAAAACTGGAAGTGGCTGAAAGTGGTAAAGCACTAGCCTTGAGCTGAAGAGCTCAGGAACAGCACTCAGGCCCAGAGTTCAAGCCCCACGACTGACAAAAAAAAAAAAAAGTTTATGGCTCTCATTATTGAGGACTTTAACTTTCTTGGTTAAATTGTTTTCTGCCATCATTGTGAATGGAGCTGATTTTGCTGATTTTCCTCTCATCCTGTTATCCTGTTTATTGTTGGGGGTACATCAGCTTTTGAAATAAACCAACACCAGAGCAGCAGTGTGGATAAAAAATGTAGAAGATAAAATGTCCATACTGTAAATGGTAGGCATATAGAATTGTTGCTGGTGGTAGGTGAGGGTTTGTGAAGATTGTTCCCAATTCAAATAAGAACCATATATTCAGGGTTTTATTCCATTTCATGTACTGAATGTGAGGGCTTGATATATGAAGCTGTTGAGGGAGTCTGAAATTTCTAAAAGGCACTTTCCATGAAGTCTTGGTATAGTTTGAACAGAATAAAGAGATAAAGAAAGCAGGTCTCAAGAAACATTGTTTCCCCATGAAGACTCATGCTTAAATTTCCATTTGTATTCATCAAGGAGCTGAAGACTTACACTGTGTGTCTTTGGAAGATACAGATTATTTCCCATATGTTTATGGGCTGAAGACATAGTTTAAGTGATAGGGTGCTAGCTGAGAAGCAAGCTGAGTGAATGTGAGGTCTTAGCATGAGAAAGAATAAGACAAAAGACTGACAAGGAAATTAATTAATTATACATAGTGTCAAGATAATTCAGAGTAGGCCAAAGCCATGTGAAAACTTGGTCATCATTAATATATTTTAAAATAGAAAAATATACAGAATTAAAAAGAATATGATATATGCTCAATAAGTTAGCAAAAAGAATATAAAATATTAAAATAATTAGGTGGTTTCAACATTTGATTGGACAGATTACTTTACAGAATTATTGAATGAGAAGCTCAGGAATGGAAACATTTCTACATCGTAGCAGAAAGGGAAAAGAAAAGCAGGAGTAGCACGTCTGTGAAATACTTCTAAATTTCTAACCTCTATAATATTAAACTACCAGAGAGAAATTTGATAGCTAACTAGAAGTGATCTTCTAAGAGCTGTCTATGAATTTTTTTTTCTTTTTTTTTTTGGGGGGGGGGGGTCCGGTCGTGGGGCCTGAACTCTGAGCCTGGGCGCTGTCCCTCAGCTCTTCAGCTCAAGGCTAGCACTCTACCACTTGAGCCAGAGTGCCACTTCCGGCTTTTTTCTTTTTCTTTTTCTTTTTTTGCTTATGTGGTGCTGAGGAATCGAACCCAGGGCCTCATGCATGCAAAGCAAGCGCTCTACCACTGAACCACCTTCCCAGCTCCGAAAATTTTTTTTCTTGTTCTCAATGGTGGCCTACTTCCACAAGTTGTTCCTGCACTAGCAATGTTCTTAAATATAGAAAGCTTCCTCTACTTAAAGTCAAATGCTCTATAACAAATTGAATATTTCTCTAATTCATTGTTTTCCTTAATCTGATTCCTTAATTTTATCCAAATGGAGCCCTCTCTGACAGTCTATCCTTAGTTCTACAATACTTTCCACAGCTTTGCATTATTTTATTTCAGTGATTTTCCTTCAGAACCAAATTTCCATTTTGTTTTAATTACTTTTTTCCTTATTATTACCCATAGTGGCTTTTTACAGCCTTATTTAGCCATAAATTATGTTTATTCCTTTCATTTTGTGAGGAATTTCTTGATTTTTATTTTTAATTGTAAAGATACTGTGCAGAGGGGTTACAGTTACATGAATTATCTTGATATTATGTATAATTAATTTCCTTTTGACCTTCTTTTCCTGATCTTAGAGGAAAAGGTTTTGACTACAAGATTAGCTGTTAGACATTTATACATGGCTTTTATGAGATGTAGGCAAATCCTTCTAGATGGAGAATCATGAGCATTTCCAAAAATAAAATTGTGTTAAATTGTACCAAAGACTTTATTTTTAGCTCTTGAGTTGTAGCAATTGAGTTTTATTATTCATTCTGTGAGTGTGGTGTACCCATCAGTCAAGTATGGGCATATGATCAAGTATCCTCGCAATTGGATAAATCGCATTTGATCAAGGTATGTGATCCTTTTAAAATGTTATTTATATTCAGTTGTGTAGTATTTTATTCAGCATTATTTCATCTAGGTTCAAAGAGTTACTGGCTTATAGTTTCCTTTTGGCTTATACTTTTCTTTTTTTGGATATGGTAACTTTATTTGGCTTTGCTATCAGTCAGGCTGGTGACATAAAAAGAATTTTTAAGTGTTTCCTCTTCTTAAACCTTTTGATGAATTTGAACAGGGCTGAAATTAATTTTGTAATAAAGCAAAAACTTTCAAGATGTCTTATTAGTATAATTAAATATAAACATATTTAAGTAACATCTGTCACCCAAGATATTCTACTCACCATTTTTCTGTATTGTGTCTCTCATTAAATGAATAGATCTACTATAGTAGATTGTAATACTATTGAAAGACAATTGATGCTTGAATTTTTGATATTTCACAAGATTAGAGGAGTACATGAAAAGGATTTCTGTCATAGAAGTGTTCATTAAGAATAATGAGCCAACAAAATAAATGTGAGTAGAGTTTTTTTTAACGTATCTCTCCTAATTAATGTCACCCAGTTATCTGTTTGAAATTAAACACATTGAGGAAGTGGGAGGGAAGGGATGGTAGGGGAAAAACAAAGGAGGGGGCAACAATGCTGGATAAGAAATGTACTTATTACCTTGCTCATGTAACTGTAGCTCCTTTGTACAGTATTTTCACAATAAAAAACTTAATTAAAAAAGAAGTTAAACACATTAACTATATATGTGTGTGCGTGTATGAAGTAACTTTGTATAAATTATTATTGCCTTAGCAAAACAAGACACAAAATCACCTTTGCCGAGACTTTTGCCTTATGTATTTAGCTTATAATTCATTTTGGGCTTTTGAAATCAGGCTTTGAACAAACTAGAGGGCAATTGTTACATTGTTGCTGACTTATACCTCCATTCACTTTTTGTGCTGGTTGTTTCTTATGTAAGTTCTCACTTCCGATGCAGGAATGTATCTGAATGACCTCTCTGTTTGTATGACTGTAGGGTGTGGATGATACGTAGTGTGACCCTACATGCCTCTTTCCGTGAAATAGACCTTCTGGCAAGGAAATCAGATCCCTCCAATCTCAGTCACTTATGTAACTCAGAATAATAGATTGTGTACGTCTTCATTTTAACAATAGGTTTAGAAGGTTTCATATGAACGTTTTTGTGTGGGTTGCTGTCAAATAGAAATCCTTCAGCCTCCCAGTTTGCCTGGATTACAGGAATGAGCCACAACTCCAGCCCATGTTACTTTAAATATTTCTTATAGAAATGTTTGTAAATAGAAATGTTTGTAAATGATTCATGTTTAAAGAACAGTAGAATAAATATTAAAGAATAAAGTACAACGAATATACGTGTCTTTAATCTAGGCTAGCAATTGTCAAAGCCATTCTTGCACACCCACGATCTTGAGTCTGCCACACAAAACTGTAAGAGTAAATTCAAGTCACTAGTTTGATTCATGGATTGGGCAAAATATCAATTCATTTTAACCCGTATCCTACTTTTTCTGTTACATTTTGTTCTGGTTACACTTTATCTGCCCATATATTAGCTCTTCTCTTTCCTTTTTTCTTTTAGTTTGCACTTCTAAAGGATTGATGCTGACAGAAAAGAACCCAATAGAAGTCCAGTTTACAAACAACCAACACAAAGGGAACCTCCATGGAGCTACTCTTTTGTTCAACTCATATACCCTGCATGATGGCTCTGGGTTAGGGATTGGTATAGATGAGGATAGCTGTCCCACAACTCTGGTTTGGGGGTGCTACTCCTCCCTACTGGTTGGCCTTAGATTGGGCAGGCTCAACATCACAACTTCCCAGAAGTCATAATACCCTTGAAGTTAAGTGGTCCTGGTGGAAGAATGAAGACTCCAGACTTGCTCTCCTGTACTTTGGAGGCCAGAGACACATGGTCCACTTGAAGGTCAAGACGTTTCTAGTACCCAGACATTTCTCTGTATTCACCTACACAGAGCAGGGAGCTCTCCTTGAGGACAGGCCTTTTGTCCAGAATGACTGCTACTACCATGGCTATGTGGAAGGGTATCCAGAATCCCTGGTAGCTTTTGACATTTGTTTTGGGGGATTTCAAGGAACACTACAAATAAATGATATGCTTTATGAAATCAAGCCCAAGAGCCCTTCTGCTACCTTTGAACATGTGGTTTATAAGGTGAACAGCAAGGAGACACATTTCCCTCCCATGAGATGTGCAGTATAACAGAAGAAGAAATAGCACAATTGATGTTTCAAGACCGTGGTGATTTTATGTGGAGGCAAAGTGGCTATGAAGACTGGTGGATCCACAGGTGTTTTCTTGAACTTGCATTGGTCATGGATAATCAACTATTCAACTATCATGAAAGTAATACATCAAAGGGGATACGAGAAGTGGTTATCATTGCCCATCATGTAAGTGTCATTTTGAATGCACTGGATATGGATGTCATTTTACTAGGACTTGAGATCTGGAATGAAAAAAAAATCCCATAGCAGGAAAGACTACAGCTTCTCTACAAAATCCTTTTGCCATTGGAAGGTTAAGAACCGTGCTCTTCATAAATATGATATTGTGCCTCTTTTAATATACCAGAAAATGAGAGTATTTCTTGGCAAAGCATGTGTTGGAAGCGTCTGTCTTCCACGGAATTGTGGAGTGGATCAAATCATAACTAAGAACTATTTCAGCATTGGAAATACTGTGGCCCATGAGACTGGACATAATTTGGTCATGAGCATGAGGGTTCAGATTGTAATTGTGGAAGGTGACACCGCCTAATGTCTCCAGCACAGACTTCACAGATAAAATTTAGTAATTGTAGTCTACCTTGGTACTTACATGAAGAACAAAAAATTGTTTGATTTCACCACCCAACCTATCAGGCAGAATTAAGTATGAGATCTGTGGAAATGGTGTGGAGAAGAGTGTGACTGTGGATCTTTAAAATTGTGTGAAGAGGACCCATGTTGTCTGGCAAATTGCACTCTGAAATATGGGGCTGAATGTGCTTTTGGGCTCTGTTGTCAAGGTTACCACATCATGGAATTAGGCACCATGTGCAGCAAAGAGGTCAATGAATGTGATCTTCCCGAGTGGTGTAATGGAACTTCACAGCATTGTCCAGATGCAAAACTGGTTCCCTTGCCTCATCAATGGCTACTGCTATGAAAACAGATGTAATCACAGAGATGAACAATGTCGGAAGATTTTTGGTAGAACAGCAAGGAGTGCAAAGCAGAAATGTTTAGTTAGCAAGCAATATGTACGTTGTAATATCCTTTGTGGCAGAGGTCAATGTGAGAATGTGACAGAAATCCCCATGTTGGCAGATTATTCTACCGTACATTGGACTCACTTCAATAAGGTCACGTGCTGGAGTACTGAGTACCACTGGGGGATTTTAATACCTGATATTGGTGGTGTAAAGGACGACACAAAGTGTGGAAGAAGTCGTGTGTGCCTCAACAGGGCATGTGTCCCAAGGCCACATTCATCAACTGTTTGTTCACCCAAGAAATGCAAGAAGCAAGGGGTCTGCAACCATAAACTCCACTGCAACTCTGGGTGGCAGCCCCCCATCTGCCTGGCAAAAGGCTTTGGAGGTAGTGTTGATAGTGAACCACCTCCTGAGAAAAGGACAATGAAAGGTAAAGCAGCAGACAAGACAAATACCCTAGTGGCATTTTGTATGTTCTTTTTTCACTGGGATTTTAATTTGTCTTGTTTTGTACTACATGAGCAAACTAAGTAGAAGAAAGCAAAAAGGATGCAAATTCATCCCAGTTATAATGCTTCAACCACGGATACTTCACTTAAACAAGAATCAGTCTGTCACTTCCAGATAAAAACAACAAAGCTAAAAGTGTACCTCCTAAACAATAGAGCAAAGTTTACCCAAAAAAAAGCCTCAAGTTGAATGTTTTAGCTAAGGAAAAAGAGCTCAATGTTCAAACATTCCCTGGGAAAGAAGACCCCAAAGTTGAAACCTGCAAGAAATAATCTTAGATATCCCTAATGACATTTCACAGGTATTAAACCTGTCATATTCTTGAAGTAGAGATGTTATTGCTTATGTCAGCAACCACTGATAGAAAGTTCCAATGAATTTTAACCTTGTAGAATCAGAAACACCATTTTTAAAACACCATTAAAGAAGTATGACTGCTAACATATTCCCTGTGTTCATTATTTTAAGTAATTTATTGGCTATTTTTAATGAAATTCTTATCTTTGAGTTTCCTAAGTAAGACTCTTCTCTCTACAATATCTGTCTACATGCTCTCCAACCCATGTATTTCTCTCTCTCATTCTCTTAAAAAAATCTTTATTGTAAATGTGATGTATAGCGAGGTTTCAGTTACATAAGTCAGGTATTGAGAACATTTCTTTCTGGACAGTGTCAACACCTCCCTAATTTTCTCCCAGTTCTTTTCTTCCCAACCTTCCTCCCCCAAGCTGTATAGTTTATTTCCAAAATCGTGTCTGCTGAATTAGTTTGCCCTTTGTCCCACTGGTTCTGTGCTTCTCTTTCCTTCCTTCCCTTTCCCTTCCTCTCTTTCTCTTCTCTTTTCTTTCTCTCTCTTCCTTATCTTACTCCCTATCTCTTTTTCTTTGTATGTGATATCATTTGATGTTTTTAATTCTACTCCACCCACTTATTTTCACTCTGACTTGTCCCATGGAAGAAAATTCTATATGAAGTCTCAACTTCCATTTCCTCTGTGTCTCTCCTCATTGTAATTTCTCTCCATCAAAGTGCTAGAAGGACAGTCAGATGGCATCTGAGTGATAAGAGCATTGGTGGTAGTGCCATGAAGAACACAAGCACCAGAAAACCTTGAATTATTTTTATCCCCAACTCCTTTTCAATTCCAGCAGAAGATAACTAAAACTTAGTGTGTCTTTAAGAATGTGTAAGCAACACAATGAGAACCATTGCCCCTTCTCCAGCAGCCCCTAATGCCACCCCTCCAGGCAGAGCCTGAGGGAGCCAAGCAAGCCAGTCCTAGAGAAGAGGACCGCATGGATGCTCCTTGCTTACCTCCCACCCCTTGGATGCCAGCAACGGGGGTCTTCCTGAGCCCCCAATGTGGGGGGGGGGGGGGTTTCCCAGGGCAAGCCCATCTCCCAGCCTCTCCACTATCACAAGTTGTCTGACAGGTGGCACGTGGCAGTTTCCTGTTGTTTATTGATAAGTTTCTCCTGGCAGCCAAGCCCCTGAGTCGAGTCCTGCCCCCCCCCCGCCCCCCCCTCCCCCGTCCCCCCGGCCAAGCCCTCACCTGAAGGCCAGGGCATATTTCTTTCCAGAGTGAGCACAGAGAAAGGAAAAATCTCAGAAAACATTCTAATACTCAGATCTAAGTCTTGACTTTTTTTTGGGGGGGGGTCTTTTTACCCTCTTTCTTCTACTTCCCATCCTTTTCAGGCTTATGAGATGGTAGTAGCTCATGCTTTTAATCCTAGCAACTCAGGAGGCTGAGATATGAGGAACATAGTTTCTATACATTATTTCTATGCATTTTGTCTAATAGTCTCAAGAAGGAACACATGAACTAAAATTTCAAGCATAGAAAACAGTTCTGAGAAGAGGTTATATGACCTTCCATTATTTCCCTTGAAATACTTGCCAGTTGCATGGGCATTGAAGATGTGGTTTGGTCCAGGAGAGGAAAGGATCTCTATGAGAAGAGAAACACCAACCCTCTTAGAGAAATCCAACCCTAAAATCATGAGATAGAGGTTTTTGGTCCTTCAATTGATCATTGTTTTCCCTCAGGTTACACATGTTGAATTTGATGGCTTAATAGGATTCTGCTGCCACACTGAAATGTGTGTGTGTGTGTGTGTGTTGTGTTGTGTTGTGTTGTGTTGTGTATCAGTCCTGGTACTGGGCACTGTCTCTCAGCTTTTGTGCTCAAGGCTAGCACTCTACCACTTGAGCTACATCTCCATTTCTAGCTTTTTAGGTAATTAGTTACAAATAAGAGACTCACAGACTTAGCTGCCCAAATCTGTCATTGAACTGTGATCCTCATTATCTCAGCCTCCTGAATTGCTAGGATTACAAGCATGAGCCACTACCATCTCATAAGCCTGAAAATTGTTATTGGCATATCTTCAGAATTAATATTGTCAGAACAGAATACAAGGTTTTTCCCAAGTAAAAACATGGTTTCTCTAAGAAGACAATTACTTGATTTTTTCATTTGTATTTAACAAGAACCTGGAGAGCTAAAGAGTGAACATTTGGTTTATAGAGAATAATTTTCATAATCTTTGAAACAAGTATATATGATCAGATATACTACCATGAAATTCTTTAGGTTCATGTCTGAGCAATACCCTCAAAGTAAAGAAAATTAATCCCAGACTTACTAAAAATCACCTCTGACGTAGCTCAAAACACAATGGAGGTGGGAAATCACTTTTTAGTCTACATGTGGAAGCAGAGGGAAGAGGGAAGAATCTCTTACGGTGTTACCAGAAGATTTTATGATAGCTTTAATTCACAATGACCTGCAAACAATATAATATAGCTCTACAAGCAGTTAATGTTTGAATGTCTCCTTTAAAACCAGATTGAAATTGAATGATCAATTTAAAATAATTTAATATTGGGGCACTGAAAACTTACTTATACAGAATTTTTATGGTAGACTATGGCTGCTATACTCCAAGTGAGTGTCTCACTATAAGTAAGCGTCCCCTTGTTACAGAGTGAAGTTCTTCCTCTCTCTCCTGCCTCTCATTGGGCAGAGCAGCACCACCTCAGTCTGAATCACCTCAATCTTGAAGTTCCCTTCTGACAGAACTGAAAGCAAGTGATTTCTTTCCTCCATAAGTTATGCAGAAGATGAAGTTCTATTGTAACCACAGAAAAGAAAGTAAATTCTTAAAAATGTGGCACCAGGACTCATTGCTTTAACCTTTCTTAGTTATGGGACATTTGGGGGATGTGGAGGAATCTGTGGGAGCTACTGAGAAAGAGAATTACAGGACAGTTCTCAAGAGGGCTCAGTAAAGATAACTAGAACAATGCTGACAGAACTTAAGCAATTAGAACCAGAATGATTGGACACTGAGTCATTCTGATGAGATCGCAGAGGGCAATAAGGAACATGGTATTGGAAACTCAAACACAGGCTATTCTTTTGTTTGTTTGTTTGTTTTTGTTTTTATGTTGGTCATGGGGAACTCTGGGACTGGGTGCTGTCCCTCAGCTCTTCAGCTCAAGGCTAGCGCTCTACCACGTGAGCCACAGCGCCACTTCCAGATTTTTCTGCTTATGTGGTGCTGAGGAATCGAACTCAGGGCCTCATGCATGCCAGGCAACCACTCTACCACTCAGCCACCTTCCCAGCCCACACAGGCTACTCTTGTGATACATCTCTAAAGTGCTGGCTGAAATGGGCCAATGTTCTAGAACCCTAAACTAAAACTCTGAATGTCATTCTAAGATATCTTTAGAAAATATAGTTAAGCAGCAAAGGTTTCCAGATATGAACTGTTTTGCTGTCACTTAAAGTTATAATGTTAAAAGAGAATATATTCTTTGAACATAGAATTCAGAATGCAATAGGAAGATTTGGCAGATTACAGCCTAGTAATACAAAGTGGAAAACCATAGTCCTGTAAAGTGTGGTCAAGAAAGTCAGCAGAATATTAGAATGATTTGATAGAATCTAATTACTATTCATGAAGACTATCGCAGAAAAAAATCTCTTCTGCATCTTCTAACTTTCTGCTATCTCTATGATATCTTTATTTTGGTGACTGCTCTTGGTGTGTAAGGATTTCCACTGGCCCTTTAGTATAATTGTTATGTGCATAGGGTGTATTAGTGACTATGTGCATAGGTTGTATTTCAAAATTTGTTGTATTTAATCCTCTTAATCCAACGAGAAATTCATTTATTCATTTGAACTATATTTAGTGGAAGTTATAGGATTTCTCCCCATTTGCTAATGCTACCTTCCTACAGACTAATTATTGCTTTCCAATCAGATGATTCTATTTCTTTCTTCTTATTGTCCAATTGGGCAGTCTAAGACTTTCAGGTGTATGTTAAGTAGAATGAAGGCGATTAGATACCCTTGTCTTGTTGCAGATCTTACCGGCAAAGCTTTGGTTTTCCATCAGTGAGTATACATTAGCTGTGGGGGTTTTATAAATGGCTTTAGTAGAGTGTAGGCACACAAAACATCGTCTTCTCACCAACCTATGGAAATTTTCTCCAAAATAGGAGAACTTTTAGGATATGAAGCAAAAATTAACAAATGCAGGAAAATGGACGTTTCTCCCTATATTGTGTCTCATAGGAAGAAAATCCAAAACACCCAGAATCTTACAAAAATGAGAACAAAACTGGCAGGAACGGTGGGAAACTGAAAAGGCAGTGCTAAGAAAAATGTTTGAGGGGTGAATAATGCTGAATGAAGATGTAAAATGAAACTTACAAGAAGCTCCAGTATTAGCAGATAGCAACAATCTGATTAGAGCTCAATGTATGTCTGTGTGAAGAGCTACAATGTAACCCATTTGAAAAATAAAATACACTTTAGTGTATTTACACAGAAGTGTCAGGAGAGGTAAACATGTTCTCTCTAAACTACCCATACCATTAGAAGAGGGAAGGAGAATGGCAAAGCTAAGTAGGATGAATACATTCAAAATACCTTATGGGTGAGTATGAAAGTAGAACAGTGAAATGTTGAGATTGTTGGGAAGGGAGAGAGGAGATAAAGGATAGAGATAGAGAGCATGAGTCTAATCAACATATATTGTATGCATACATGACATGGCAAAAAGAATCTCCCTTGCACAAAGCATTGATACTAAAAAAAAAATTTTGATTTTTTAAAATTTAAAGCATCAATGTAAAGGGCCATATTAAAGCTCCAAATACTAAATCATTGGATCTACTTATTCTGTCTGTTTCTTTGCATATTTAGGTGCTATGGTAATATATGTATTGAAGTAAGACCATATATATATATATATATATATATATATATATATATATATATACACACACACATATATATGCATATATATGTATGTACAATCACAGTATTTTTTCTGATTATTTGAACTCTTATACCATGAATATCTTTTCTCCTGATGTAAATGTGTATCTCTCTAAGCAGAAGATATTTGAATACAGATAAAGAAAAGCAAAGCTTAAATTCCTGCTAACACAAACCAAGGAATTACAAAATCTGGACAGAATCATGAAATAATGTCTTAGCAACTTCAGGAAAAGTACATTCCTGATGAAATAATGATAATGTTTAGTCTCCAAAACACTCACAAAACCCACTTCAATATATGAAGACATGAACTTATGTGGCCTTTTGAAGGAAAATATAACACAGTAACATAGAAAATAAAATGATCAAATCAAATTGGGCCAACTGAGAATTCGTGCTGAAAAGCTGGAAAGTCATGGTGAGTCAACTGAGAAAACAATGCAGAGAGGATACACTCAGGCAGACACACAGTAGGAGGTTTTAGCAGATATCACATATGTAGATATGTGTAACCTTCTCTCTACCATATAGGTGATATCCAGAAGATAATATATATGTAGCCTTTCTGATGTGATCAATACAACTTGCTTACACAACGGTGTTCTAAAATTGTCTGTACTCAAACTATCTGCACGTGATCTAGGAAATTACTTCCTATTTTTATTATTCATTCTGCAGTGCTTTCTACATTTGTCTGTTTTTGTAGGCAACAAGTTTTCAGAAACAGATAAAGCAAAGTTATATGAACCGTCTCTAAGTAATTAACTTCCTGAGAGGTAGATAAGTAGTGATGTGAGAATTCCTCAGAGAATTAAATGATCTTGAAATTTATATTGGAAGATGAAGAGCTTGGAGTACTCCACAATATAATTCAGTATTGGAAGTACACTGAAACCGGAGCAGCAGTATGAACAAAAGTATGCAGGGGAAAATGGCCATACTGGACATGAGGAACAGAAAGCTGCCAGTGTGACCTGTGAGGGTCTGTGAAGATTCCCCAGAGAAACAGGAGCCATCCATTCAGATTCTTGCATTTAAATGCACAATGAGAGTTAAGGGCAAGATGTTATGGTAGGAAAACTGGGCAAAACTTTATTAAGCAAGCAACCAGCAAGCCAAGAAAGAGACACACACTCTGGTACACAGGTGTGTGTTTCACATGAAACCCACCAGGGATTTTGACATGTAGGGAATTTAGGTAAAATAAAAAGATTGGGTTTGGGGAGCTGCAGCCGGTGGCGGCAGCGGCGGCGCGGGGAGCGGCGGCCGGTGGGGGTTCCCCTCCTCGGCGTCCGGTGGGGAGTGGGCGGCGTCCCCTCGCGGGGTCGGCATTTTTGTCCTCCGAGGTGTCCAGCCCCGGGCGGAGCTGCCCCTCGCTCCCCTCGCTCCTGCGGGGCCGGTCTGCTGGTGACCTGGGTCGCCCTCCGGGCTGCCTTTTTCCTTTTTTTTTTTTATCTTGTTTCCTCGAGGTTGTCTCCCCCTCCCCTCTTGTTCGTGTTGTGTGTGGAAATGGCGAACTCGGCAAATACAAATACCGTGCCTAAATTATACAGATCTGTGATTGAAGATGTTATTAATGATGTGAGAGACATCTTTTTGGATGATGGAGTGGATGAACAAGTCCTCATGGAACTAAAAACTTTATGGGAGAATAAACTAATGCAGTCTAGGGCAGTCGATGGATTTCATTCAGAAGAGCAGCAGCTTTTATTGCAAGTTCAACAGCAGCATCAACCCCAGCAGCAGCAGCATCACCACCACCACCACCATCAGCAAGCTCAACCTCAGCAAACAGTACCTCAGCAAGCACAGACCCAGCAAGTCCTTATTCCTGCATCACAGCAAGCCACAGCACCACAAGTTATTGTTCCTGATTCTAAACTGATACAGCATATGAATGCATCAAGCATGAGTGCTGCTGCTACAGCTGCTACCTTAGCACTGCCTGCAGGTGTGACTCCTGTTCAACAGATATTAACAAATTCAGGTCAGCTTCTCCAGGTGGTCAGAGCAGCCAATGGTGCCCAGTATATCTTTCAGCCTCAACAGTCAGTAGTTCTACAACAGCAGGTTATACCACAAATGCAGCCTGGTGGAGTTCAAGCTCCTGTTATACAACAGGTCCTAGCTCCTCTTCCTGGAGGGATTTCACCACAGACAGGTGTCATCATCCAGCCTCCACAAATATTATTTACAGGAAATAAGACTCAAGTTATACCTACCACAGTGGCAGCACCCACACAAGCACAAGCTCAGATAACTGCAACTGGCCAACAGCAACCACAGGCCCAGCCTACTCAGCAGCAAGCTCCATTAGTGTTACAAGTTGATGGAACTGGGAATACGTCATCTGAAGAAGATGAAGATGAAGAAGACTATGATGATGATGAAGAGGAAGATAAAGAGAAAGATGGAGCTGAAGATGGGCAGGTGGAGGAAGAGCCCCTCAATAGTGAAGATGACATGAGTGACGAGGAAGGACAGGAACTCTTTGACACAGAAAATGTTGTTGTATGCCAATATGATAAGATACACAGAAGTAAAAATAAATGGAAATTTCATCTCAAGGATGGCATCATGAATCTTAATGGAAGAGATTATATATTTTCCAAAGCCATTGGAGATGCAGAATGGTGAAGAGTTGTTTCTTTTCTTTTATAAATAAAACAAAAGAAACTTAAAAAAATTTAAAGTGGACGGTTTGAAACTTGGACATATATCAACCAAAACTTCACTTCTGCATGTCCGCAAAGTGCAGTAGAAACAAAGCTACTGGAACAAAGATAGACCTTGATGACATAGACACTACTTCTAACTGGCAAGCCATGGAACTGTAGCACCTGGGATACTTGGTGTGGGAGGGAAGGGTTTTGTGTAGGAGAACCATAATTGTCAATTTTAAATACAAGAACCTGCCACTGGTAATTAGCATGTAAAGCTTTGTCTATATACCTGCCTCCAACTTGGGCTCAACCAGAAGTTACTTGTTGGAATGAATTGAAGAAACTTCCCTTTTGATAGATTGAACTGAAATTGCTTATTGTATGTGGTTATATTTGGTATAAATTGCGCGTGAGCTTTTTACAAAAGGGCAAAATTATGGTGTTGAATTTAATTCACTTGTATAAGGAAACAGTTTAAAACACGGAATAGGTCTTAAATATTTTTACTTGTTATTCTCCCTCAATAATATATACCTCTTCTTTGCTTTATGAAACATCTATTTAAGATGTACAGGAAATAATAAGTGATCACCGTTTGAAGACAGTTTGACCCAGAAATGGATATTTTAATTAGGTTTTCATACTTGTTAATGTAATTTGAAGACTTAGGTCTTATCTGAGTTGAATGGAATTAAAATGGCAACTTTAATTTCCTTACTAAAAAAAAAAAAAAGATTGGATTTGGTTCAAATTGCTCTTAGTGTACCCCTTAGTTCTGGCACCTGATATATTAATCACTCTTGCTGGTACATTGTTTTATCACATGGGCCAGAGGCTACAATGTTGGCCTGCTACTCTCGGCTCTCTGTGGCCTGGACTTTCCTTCAAACCTGGGGCAATGATGCCTGCATATCTCTCCAGAAAAGTCATTTCTGTCCCACAGTCATTGCAAAACAAGTATCCTTCCTAGAGATTTTTTTTTTTTTTTTTTTACCAAATACACTTTGTACAGAGTAAGTCTCTCTTCTAAAACTTCCTTGCATGGTTAAAAAAAAACAAAAAAGAACTATCAGGCAAGATCAAAGGGAGAACACTGTTTTCTTTTCTTTTTTAAATATTTTTATTGTAAAGATACTGTACAGAGGGGTTACAGTTACATGAGTAATGAGTCCATTTTCTATTGAGCATTGTTACCCCCTCCTTTGTTTTTCCCCTACTAATTTGTTTTTCCCCACCTCCCCATTCCTCCCTCCCCTTCCCACTTCCTAAGGAGAGATTGGCGGCCTAAGGCAAAAAACAGTCCTTATGTGCTTTTAATAGAGCTATACTTTAATATATTGTTTACTCTGAAATCCTGGCTGCTATTTCCCATTCTTCTTTTACCTGATATCTTCTTCAGAGTGGTACTAACAAACTAAATTTATTCATATTGCACAGTAGTAGATAGGGTAAGGGATTCAGGATTCACTTTCCTCCTGTTTTCTTTCCCCAAATTCTGTAGTAGTTCTAAATTTTAGAACTGTCATTGCTCGTTACTTTACAGGATCACTTTACATCACTTCCAGTAATTTGACAAAAGTAAGCTTTTTATATGTAACACGATCAATGCATGTTTATAGCTTCTTAAAATATCTCTTTGTATCATAGAGGAATAAGTAGAGACTAAGTTTGGTTGAGATGATGGAGTCACAATTGGGAGGACTATTAGCTACTTGCCAAGTTTGGTAGACTGAGAGACTGCTGTTGGTAGGGAATTAAATCTAGACCTTAATCCAATGAGAGACAACTGAGAAAGGAATTTATTATTTCCTGTCAGATATAGGCTCAAGTAGTTAAAGACAAAACAACAGAACTTCAGTGTTATGCGACAACTGCCACAAATGAGCCATAAAACAGGTTATCTTAGAAAGATAAAGAAAATCATCATTTTTATCTGACAGGTAAGTCACTCAAGACTTTTATTCTAAAGAAGATCGAATAGTACAGGCATACACACACACACACACACACACACACACACACACACACATCAGGACATTGTACAAAATGTCTAGATCTTGGACAGGGCTAGCCTCTTTATCATTTGCTTTCTTATTTGCCTTGAACTACTAAATTCTTTTCAATGTGCTGTTATTCATAGTGTGAAAAACACAATTATATTCTAAGATCTAGGGATTTGGGTATTTTAGCTGCAGATTAGTAAAGCTGTGGAACCTATCATTATCAAAACAAGTTTCTGTATTCACTGCTGTGGGAACTGATGTTTGGTTAACGTGTTAGATCTCTCAAAGCAGAATTCACTTTCCTCTTGTTTTCTTTCCCCAAATTCTATAACAGTTCTAAATTTCAAAACTTGATGATCTTGTTACTTTACTGATCTCATAAACATAGGGTCATTTCCAATAGTTTTACAAAAGTAGGCTTTTATATGTAAAATAATGAATGTTTACAGTTTCTTAAAATATATCTTTGTACTATTATTCATAAATTCCAGACAGTTAAATTTTGTCACTCAGTATCATCCCATGGTATGTTCCCAGTATCTCTACATATTGTGGTTTTGTGTGTATTTTAATCAAAAACAAATCAATTAATTTGTTAAAGTTTATTAATAGGTTAACTAATAAGTTAAGCAGGCATTGGGCTAGTAGATTTCTCATTCTCACAAAATGATAGTATATTTGTATTATTGTGACAAAACCTTTAGTGTTTGCACCTTCGTGTGAGATATGCATCAGCATTTTTAATATGAGATAAATCTTGATATTTACACTAGGAGCCAATTACCTTGAGATTCAAGCTATCTAGAAGAAAGAGGGTGAATAACATTGAGAAACACTGCAATTATGTAGGAAAAGGGCATAAAGAACTTTACAGAAAGCTGCTGATTACAGGGGTTTTCTGGTAAAGGAAAGAGAAGTGGAGTGGGGAAGGAAGGCTAACTGCTTAGCGGGTGGATTAAAAGCGGATAAAGTTGAAGAGACAAGCAAATTGTTCTACAACACCAAAACGGAACAAGGTAACACACTAAAATTGTACTGGGAAGGAGGAAGAGTCGGGTAGAGAGTGATGAGAAGAGATTAACTGAAATATATTATATACACACTTGGAAATGTCACAATAAAGGACTCCTTGTATACCAAAACAACAGCCAAAAAAAAAAAAAAACCAAGCAACAAAAAAACAGCCCTCATGCCTCAATCTCATACTGGAATGCAACATAATATTTTTTATTGTGAAAATACCGTACAGAGGGGTTACAATTACATGGGCAAGGTAATGAGAACATTTCTTATCAAGCATTGTAGCCTCCCATCCCTTCCCATCTTCAACCACCCCCCTGCTTCCCCCTTCTCCCCACCCCCCCACTCCCCCCCACCCCCACCCCTCCACCCCAAAGTCGAAAAGTTCGTTTTTCAATATAATGTCTTGCACATTTCATTGTTGCAATGGGTCTACCTGTAACCCTATTTAAGCATAAGATTTTTGGAAATTTTCCTCTCTTCTTTTGAGGTTCTTATTCCCCACCTAGTTTTACTTCCTTTTCACTTAGCATAGCCAGATGTTTTGAAAAATATAGTGTTCTTAGGAATGTAATTAAAGACGAACTACTGAGAGTTAAGAACTCTCTCTCAACCCAGGTTAGCCTCTCTGAATACTAATATACATCATTTTCCTTAAGAAAACAGAAGTCATCAATGCCCAAACTTCGCCTGAGACAAGAAATCTCTGGATACATCTACCAGAGCCTCAAAACAATGACCAGAGAACAAGAATTCTCAGTTCCAGGTCATGAGCACTGGACCAAACAACAGCTTCCATCTCCAAGCTGGATGTATGCTCTTTGCAGAGTTTGGAGTTCTAGAACCATGTGGCATATTTCAAATCTCTGGGTTTGGCTACTCCTACCCTCTTCCTGTGATCTTTGCTACCATTGACAACAGCTACATCTTTCTGTTAGCAAAATACCTGAAGGTGTACCCTCAGTATGTCTAGGTATACCATCAGTATATCTAGGAAAAGTTTTAAAGTTTCTATTTTGGTAAGAAGCAGCAAACAATATAATAGCACTTGCCACTCAACTCCTTCCAACTTTAATCAGAAAATGGGATAAAGAAGATACTTAGATTACTTAGATTGATATGTTGGATATAATATGTATTGTCAAATCAGTCTTCCTCTCAGACTAGACCCCACCCCCACGCCCACCCCCACTTCAACTTTACAAACTGTATTTTAAAGGCAACTGAGAATTGTGGTTACAGGAACACAGAGTGAAGTGATCTCCATTTTTCTTCTGAAACAGTCCATGGCTTGCTTGGAAACTGAAGAGGTTTGATTGCTCCTCCGTGAGGCAGAGTAACCCCAGGTCTCTTAAAATACACAGGGATAGATTCATAGATTAGACATTTGGCACCTCAATTCCCCATTATTTTTCTCCATCCCAATTGCTGCGTGTGGAAGCTTAATATGATGATGTTGAGCTAGTTGGAAGCTTGTAAAAATCACATTTTCATGTAGCCCCATTATAGTCTGAACAGAATAAAGAGGAAAAGGGGGCTTCCTTCATGATGAAACATTGAGTGTTTCCACTAAGACACTTGCTTGATTTTCCACTTCTATGAATCTTTGGAAAGTACAGATAAATCCTCATTTCTTTCAGAGCCCAAGAGGCATGAACTTGGTTTAAGTGGTAAAGTGCCAGCTGAGTAATCAAGCTTAGTGACTGTGGGAGCTTGACTTCTAACCTTAATGTGGGTAGGGGTGGATGAAAGAAGAGGAGGAGGAGAGAGAGGAGGAGAAAGAGAAGGAGTAGAAAAGGGAAGAAGAATGTGAGGAGAGACAGATGGCTCATGCCTGTAATCTAGCTACTAAGAGGCTGAGATTTGGAGATTGCAGTTCAAAGCCAGCCCAGTCCAGATAGGAAAGTCTGTGATACTCTGATCTCTAATAATCTTCTCAGAAAAAGCTGAAAGTGGTGATGAGTTAGGCAGAGCACTTTCCTTGAGGAAAAGAAGCTCAGGGACAGCGCCCAAGTCCTGAGTTCAAGCCCCAGGACCAGCACCAAAAGAAAAAAGAAAAAGAAAGGGAGGGGTTCGGGGCAGGGGCAAGAGAAGAAGACTCAGAAACAGATATGGAAGTCACTGTAG